GTTTCGGAATAGCTTCAGAAATGATGTCCCTCGAACCACCAGACGCTCCAGACAACCCTCAGATCATGTTTCCCCCTTGGGCCTGAGGGCTCGGATTCAGTCTGAGCTGTCGCTCAGCCGCAGCCTGGCCAAGAACCATCGGGTCGGGTTTTTCATCAAAGTGGGGATCAAAGTGGGGGGTCTACCTGCAAGAACTTCAGAAGCATCCAAAAGGTGGGTCCCATCAATCCAATGGAGGGAATCGTTGGCATGGGATGCTAGCGATGCATCAATATTAGATGGGTATGTTCATCCACGAGACCGCAGGTTTTGCTTCTTGCTTCCATTTACCAGGGCAAGCCATTTTGAGCACGTATTTTTGACCCACAGCCAAATTGGCTTCGAGGGACACCCAACAAAAACCAGCTGGGAATCCGCTGGCATTGTGACTTGGTGGTCCGAAGGGGAGCAAGTCTGGCAGCACAGGCTGCGCGACACAACCAAGGGTCTGCCTAGGTTCCAGAAAGTCTTTCCCGGAAAATGCCCAAATAAATTGCGTTTCTCGAGTCGAAACACAAGCCCCCTACACTGCAAACACTTGCAACTGCAAAGGACGTCGCTCTCCCAGTTCGCTGCAGCTGTTCAATGCAGATTTCCACGACCGGAATTTGGAAGCATGAGCATGATCTGAACAAACATATCTGTTGTGCGTGTAGGGCAGGCACAAAGCTGCACGTGCGGGCGCTTCTGTTGAATAAACTCTGCAGTCTGCCAGCTGTTGAGCGTCTGTGTTTGACTTGTGAAAAATACCCAACGGCAATTGTTCATGTAAATTCTGAAACTCATGTTCTGTGTTTGACGTGGAAAAAGGCCAGACTTACTGTCAAGCCAGTGCTTAATTGCACATCCGCACTCGGACACAGTGTTCCAAGGTACCTATTGATTCTCTGACCCCCAAAGAAACTTCGAATCGGCAACGTAGTAAACGGCACATGTTGCACTGCCTAAATCATGAAGCTCACATATGATAAATACAAACAGAGTATACACATAATGTTGTCTACTATTGGGCAGGCACGCTGCTCAATACAAGCGCTTGCCACAACATCTCACACTGCACTACATTTACCTGGGCTGAAGCATACGCCCCAATGCAAATCCAAACAATCGATGGAGTGCAGAACAATTCACAATAGTCATCTGGATTTGTAAGCAGCCGTCGTTTTTTTCCAGATGCGCGCATCGCACATCTAATGCACCCTCACCAGGCTTCACCCAGCACCTGAGGCCAGTCGAGGCTACCTTTGAGCAAGGGATCTAGCAAAAAGGGGCGTCCCTGGTCTTCAGCAAATAAAGGCTCCATCTTGCACCACCTTTCACTGCATGACACTTCTCACTTCCTGAGTGGATTAGCCAGAAAGTCCAAACTCGCTGCTTACCACCAAAATTGCATTCCCAAAAAGAGTGCATGCACTCACTCAGTGAGACTTGGACAATATTTCTCGTTCACTCGCATCGCTGGAAGCATCGGGCGTTTTCACGTCTCATTTTGCAGCCCAAAGGTATGACACAGGCCTTGCAGGAGGGGAAGCCTCTCTATCGCCTTGAAAGTTCGGCCATAGTCGACTTGGCTCAACACGGTTTGCAACGGCATAAAGAACCCAACACATTCACAACCACACCCACAAACAAATATGCACACAAACACGTGAACAAACATGCACAGAGACACAAGACACAAGCACAGAGACAAACATAGCAAGCAAGCAAGCAAGCAAGCAAGCAAGCAAGCAAGCAAGCAAGCAAGCAAGCAAGCAAGCAAGCAAGCAAGCAAGCAAGCAAGCAAGCAAGCAAGCAAGCAAGCAAAGAATCAAGCAAACAAACGAGCAAGAGAGAACACACAAGCAAGCAAGCAAAGCAAGCCAACAAATAATCAAGCAACCAAAGACGCCAACCAACCAGCCAGCCAGCCAACCAACCAACCAACCAGTCAACCAAGCAACCAACTAGCCATCCATTTTTCCATAGCTCCAATTACACCAACTCAAACGAAAAAACAACCAACTTAAAAAGCAAACACATACGCACATGCGCAAACATACATTGTACACCAACACCAGCACACAAAGAATAAACACCACACACACACACGCACAATTCGACACGAGCAAGCACGCAAACAAATTTGGCAAGAACACAACACACAAACCAAGCAACTAGGAGTCTTGCAATGCTTTGATAAGGTGGTGGCACAAGGATGCGGATTGCAATGGTGGCACGCTATCTATGACTATGAAAGCCAACGCCAGCTGTTTTGATACAGTTCAGGTTGTTTGCTCCAAGTCCAAACGAAGCCAAACTGACATCCAACAAATCCAAAACTGTCCACTGTCCACTAGGAGTCTGATTCGCCATGATCTGTGCAACACACCTTTGTCCTCCTCACCAGTTGCATCCAAGACACGGTGCACTGGTGAAACATGCTCAGCTCACTTGCTGCAGCCGGTGAGCTGGTATGTCTGGGCGAAAGGGTCTCTCTAGCAACTCATGATGACCCATGTACGCCACATATTTTGGATTACTTGTCTCCCAAAAGTACAACCCACGCGCAGCCACTTGCTTGACGCCATCTTATGCACGCCCGGCTGTGAGCCTGGACAAGCAAGTGTCTTAAGGGTTGTCAATTACGAATGTCAGATCATTGAATGGAGCCTGAAACGCCAGTTGTCCGGTGACATAATGGATTTGAACTGGCAATCTGATATGAGCAGCATGATAGTCTGATAGTCATGCGGTTTGCATCATGGATCGCACTAAAGCATGTTCACTGCCTCAACACAACTCGACAATTAACCTGGAGTCATGTACAATGACTTCACCACAAGGGATCCGTGTCATATTAGTGTTGTTTTCTCCCCGTCTGGCTTGAGCATCGAGCGCTATACCACAACACAGAGATATGCCGCAGCAACTGTTGCAACATAGCCAAAGGAGTGGAAAGCTGATGATTGCCGTGTTGAAAGTCTAGGTCCTCCAGTAGAGAGGTTAGAATAAGGGTACCCTTTTTTTTCTGTAGTCTATTTTAGTAGGGGAACTCTCCCCAAAAAAGGGTAAAAGGGCACTACTGGGGGACCTAAGTAATCCGGATCCCCACTCCTTGAGACATGGATGCACCCCGATCAACCCAAGGTTTGCTCAATAAGGCGCTCCCGTTGAAGAGGCCACTCAAAATGAGCAAAGGAACTGAGACTCACCCGAGGCCAGCCTTGCTCGGGTCGACACAGGTCTTTGCGGCTGCAGTGCCTGGACAGCCAAGGACATAGGCGACACGATCTCATTTTTTGCGCTCATGTCTATAGAGCAGCAACTTGCTATGCAATATGGTATATTATTCTATATCATGTACACTCACCCCCACTCGTATTTGATTCACGTTTGTTATAGACTTAGATTCAAAGTCAGTGCTTTGGACTCCCAAATGTAGCTAGCCACGCTGGCTCAAAAGAAACCACGTGAATTGTATGACCTCCAATGTCGCACATGCAATGGGTACCCTTTTCTTTCATTTGGAGGTGTCATTTGCAGGTTAACTGTCAAGGGAACTCGAGCAACGCAGCAACTGAACATTTTCCGCTGGCGTTCTTCTGCGCCAGCCTGGCATAGGCCAGTTCCCCTCTTCCCCTCCCTGAACACGCAGCCAAAGCGCCAGTGTATCCGGTTGCACAGGTCACTTGCACGTTGAAGGAGTTGATGCGAAGATCATGCTCTTTGACCAAGTAGCCAACTGTGTCCTTGGCTTTGGCAGATGCATTCTGCATCTCGTGAGTTCACATTGAAATGCTCGGCGCTGCCTCTAAGCAACAACTGTTCCTCACACCAACTGCGTTTTCCTCCCATGCTGAACCATTGGGAACCTCAAAGCAAAGCAGCCACAAGTACCATCAGTGTGGGAAAAAGCCACCCCGCTGTTCTTATGATTTCATGTGTACTGTGGTGGAACAACATGAACCAAGCAAAGTAAACAAGGATCCAAAAGGTGATACATCCGTTCTAAAGAATTCTGGCCTCTCAAAGCGGCGGCCCGAAGCAACTCAACAGACCCCAGTTGCAGGTAAACATGTGGGCCTTTCCCAAAATTGGGGACCCCTCCACCTATTCGCTTTCCTTTTTGGCTTCCTGTTAAAAACGGCCCCAATTTGACACCCCCATGTTTCTTTTGCCCCTCTAAGTTGTCCAAATGACTGGCTGTCTTACTCTTCCAGCCCTCTGAGAAACAACAGGATCGCCAACCAAACCGAGCTAGTGCAGCGGAAGCACGGAAGGGGAAAGGCAAAGTTCAGTGTCGGGATGAGTTGCTGTTGTGGTTGATGTGCTTGTGCCGGTTGTCGTGCTTGTCTCTGTCTCGGTTGTGCTAGTGCTTGTCGTGGTCTTCGTGCCAGTGGAGGTGGTTGTGCTTGTGCTTGTCTTTGTTTCTGTGCTAGTGGTGGTGGTGGTGCCCGTCGATGTGCTGGTCTTTGTGATCGTGCTAGTGGAAGAGGTGGTGCTAGTAGCTGTGGTTGTAGATTGAAACGAAGTTTCTGTCGTTGTGCTTGTGGTAGTGGATGTGCTGGTTGTGGTGGTAGTCGTAGTCGTGGAGGTGGTAGTTGAAGTGGTGGTGGTGGAGGTTGATGTCGAGGTAGTAGTAGTTGTTGTAGTGCTGGTAGTGCTTGTACTTGTAGTTGTGGTAACAGTTGTAGTAGAAGTGGATGTTGTGGTTGTTGATGTACTTGTCGAAGTGATGGTTGTGGTAGTCGATGTGCTTGTAGAAGTTGAAGTGGTTGTAGTCGTTGTGGAGGTGCTTGTGGTGGAAGTTGTTGTCTGCGTGGTTGTAGTCGTTGAAGTCTCAGTGGTGGTTGTGCTGGTTGAGGTAGTAGTGGTGCTAGTTGAGGTAGATGTGGTTGTGACCGTGGTTGTGGTCACTGTGCTGGTTGATGTTGTAGTTGTGCTTGTCGTGGTGGTGGTAGAGGTTACAGTGGTTGTCGTCACGGTGCTGGTTGACGTTGTAGTTGTGCTGGTCGTGGTGGTGGTAGAGGTTACAGTGGTTGTCGTCACGGTGCTAGTGGACGTTGTAGTTGTGGACGTGGTGGTGGTTGTGCTTGTGACCGTTGTGGTCGTCACTGTGGTTGTGCTGGTAGATGTTGAAGTGATTGTGCTGGTGCTGGTAGTGGTGGTCGTTGTGGTTTTCGTGCTCGTCACTGTGCTTGTGGTGGTGGTGGTGCGGGTTGTTGTTGAGGTTGTGGTTTTCGTGCTGGTAGTTGTCGTTGTGCTTGTTGTTGTTGTTGACGTGGATGTGGTGGTTTCAGTCACTGTGGTTGACGTCACCGTGCTAGTTGATGTGGTTGTGGTGGTGGTCGAAGTGCTAGTTGACGTTGAAGTGGATGTGGTTGTTGTTGATGTTTCTGTAGTGGTCACGGTAGTCGTGGTAGCTGTCGTTGTGGATGTGGACGTTGTTGTCTGCCACGCCCAGCTCTCACAGAATCACTGGCCCCCCAACTTCGCACATACAGAGTACTCCGGTACCTTCAATTCCTGGGACACAGCAGCCTTGTCTCTTGTTGTTTCGTAGGGACTCCTTTGTAAAAGGCTTGGCTTCGATAGGAATTCAAGCTAGCAGGCCCCACCCGACCGTGCAAAAATGCAATTGCCCTGCCCCTATCTTTGCCAACGCTACACCCAAGCACGCATTAGCTCAAGTCCCATTCTAAGCATTAATCTGCCGGCAGCACTGTGGAAGTGCTTGTCGTAGTTGTGCTTGTCTCTGTGGAAGTTGTGGTTGTCGTCGTGGCTGTTGAGGTGGTGGTCGATGTGGACTGGCGTGGCTAGCACGACCCAGTAGGGAGATCCCGATCCAACCCCGCTGTCAAATGCACGTTCCTTTTAACAGGCCCCCACTCAACAACAATTACCGTGAATGGGGTGGAGCTTTTTGGAATGGATCCCGAAACAATCTCGAGTCTCAATTGGAACCCTTGGAAACTGCTTGACAATCTGCGCCGGAATCGCCGTTGTGGTAGTGCTAGTCTCCTGAAGAGCGGCTTTCATTGGTTCAACTGAGCGGCGATCACAAGCTGGAAGTTGTCAGGTGCTAACCCCAAAGGATTGATCGGAACCTGTGCTGACAAACACAACGCAGTTTTCTATAAACAAACCTGGAGGACTGCCAGCAAAAAAACACACACAGCTCGTCTCCGTCACACTGTAAGTCAATCCGCAGATTGGGCAATAATCATCTTGTGCACCAAGTAGGCTAACTAGGTTGGCCTAAAAACTCCGCTTCATCCCATTTTCCAGTAGCCCAGAATGTTGCTGGCTCTATTCCAGGCTGGCCACAAAGCCTCAAACCCCTGAGACCCGTCCGTGATGGTGGATGTTGAGGTCGTGGTGGTCGTTGTTTCAGTGGAAGTGGACGTTGTCGTGGTGCTAGTGGATGTCACCGTTGTTGTTGTGCTCGTTGTAGTTTGCGTGGTTGTCGACGTTGTAGTTGTAGAAGTAGATGTGCTTGTGGTTGTGGTAGTTGTGGTTGTGGATGTTTTAGTGGTTGTGCTTGTTGAAGTTGTGGTAGTGCTGGTGACCGTGGTGGTAGAAGTTACCGTTGTGGATGTCACTGTTGTCGTTGAGGTGGTTGTTGTGGAAGTCGACGTGGTTGTTGATGTGGTGGTCGTAGATGTTGAGGTGGAGGTGGTAGTCTCAGTTGACGTTGACGTTGTGGTGATGGTTGTGGTACTCGTCACGGTGGTGGTTTTAGTTGTTGTGGATGTAGTTGTGGTTGACGTTGTGGTTGATGTTGACGTTGTGGTGGTCGACGTGGTTGTACTTGTTGAAGTCGTGCTTGTGCTGGTGGTTGTCGTTGTTGTTTCGGTCGTAGTAGACGTCGTGGTGGTTGACGTGGTTGTTGATGTCGTAGTTGTTGATGTAGTCGTCTGCGTGGTGGTGGTCGTCTCGGTGGTGGTCTGCGTTGTTGTAGTCGTCGACGTCACAGTGACAGTGGTGGTGGTGGATGTAGTTGTAATGGTCGTGGTCGTGGGGATCAGGGTGCAGCCGCTCACGGTGTAAGCCTTGCGCTAATGGCGAGCAATTTGGGGATGCTGCTGGCAGAAAGACTTTCACATCATGCGGATGAGGCTCGCATTGATTGAAACCATGCAGTTGCCGGTTTGCGCGTTCTACTGCTTGCCAATCTTCTCTGGTGATTCAACTCAGTGGATTCTACTCTTACTAAGGCTCACAAGGTGCATTGCTGATTTTGCTCAGAACCTCTCTCAGAGGTCAAGCGTGCGGGGTGCTACAAGTGCTAGCCCAATTACTTTGGGAGGTATGGCTGACATTGTGAAAAAGTGCATGGGCAACCAACATAGGCGCGAACAATCAGATCTCCTGCAGGCTATCAACATCGTCTGTCCAACGAAGGCGCCGCATCCACGCAAACCAACACACAACATCCCAGCAACTCTCAAAACAAAGAAATCTGCCCCCCCCCCCCCCCCCCACCCGTGGTGTTTGTTCTTCCTCTTTTTCCCCAGCTGTGTGATCTCTGCCCAGGTGGTTGGGGGCAGCTTTCCGGGAGGCCCGAAAAAGATGCCGGGGCTGGTGGGAATTCCACCTGTGTTCTTATTTAAAAAGGAAAAAGAAAACGGCTCGACAAAAAGCGGTTGAATCTTGCTTTGAGTTGGTTTTTAAACAATTGGTTCGCATGCGGCCTTTCTTTTCGGTGGGTTCTGTCCGTTCCCTACCCGAAAGCATCGGCTCCTCTCCATCCTTGGAGCACTTGGACACCACAACGTTGCCCTCGTAGAGCGGCGCGCACTTGGCTTTGATGCTGAAGCTCATGGTCTCCGCGCTGCCCTGGAAACGGCGGCCATGGAAAAGCAAGGCCAAGTGACCAGAGATGTTGGCAATTGAATCAAACCGGAACATATCTAGAACTGTACATTCTATATATGGAGGTGTCTCTAGTTTATGGATGTACTACGACGCGCAATATGTATATATATATATACAGTACATATGCATATTGTTTCACATATATGCTATACACGTGTGCCCGGGAGTTCCATGAGTTTCCGAAATGTGTCTTTTTTTTGTGGCTTGGCGCTTCGGAACCTCAGCTCCAATCTGAATAGCCTGTGATCTGGACACTAAAATAGGTTCTAAAATGGGTGGTGAATTCACCTACCCCAAACTGGGATCCCATTGGTTTTGACCCACAGCCATGTTTCGACTGGGGCTTCAATCAGTCGCCAAGAGAGAGAAATGAGCCACGGAGTCATGGGCAAAGTGGAAGTGGCCCAGCCGCGCATAGATTCCATCATTGACGCCAGCAATTCCGGTCCCTACCCAAAAGCAACACAAGCTAAGTGCTAGGAGCGAGATGATTTTCCAACACACCGAACTGCACAGTCCGCCGAACTTCCAAACGTGACAATGTCCGGCGCCTTCACCACATATCCTTCCAGGTCGGGCTCAGCGCAAACCTCTGAGACACAGCCCGAGAGGATGTAATCCTGGCACGGAAGCGCAATCCCACGGATGACTCGGGCTCTGTGAAATGCGGCCCACAAAAAAACTGCTCACAACGACATTTCCTTACAAGGTTGCTGAGGGAATGTCATACATAGTTTGCATGCCCAGGAAGCGTGCACAATTGCAACAGTATCAGAGAAGCATCAAAGATTAGAACCAAAGGCAGGTCGCGTCCTTGGATTCAGCACTCACAGTTAAGTTATGTTAAGTTTTGGAGGACCAAATCACACTTTGGATGTGCGGAAGAGTGACACTGCCGCTGCTGCATTGGATGGTTTGCCCAACTGCTCACCTATTGTGGCAAGCAAAGGCTATGGGCAAGGTTGATAGGACGGCAAAACCTGACATTACTAGAAATGGACCCAATCTTCACCGCCAACAGCCGTCAAACGGTCGCTGGATCAGCAACCTGATGTGTTTGATTCAAGGTGGGTAACCGCTTCCTGCCCGCGTCATGGAAGCTCTCCTGCAAATGCCTTCAAACATGCATATGCGCCATGGTTGTGCCACAAAACGACAAATGCCACGCATGGCACACAGCAACGTGCACATGCAAAGAGGCGTGCTAAACAAGAACAGAAGAAACAGAACGACAGCTCGAGCCACTCACGTGACATGCCACTGCGCACCTCTCCCTCCTTGGCGCAAATCGCGGCGTTGCCTGTGCCTGGGCGAATTGTTTGACCAACGATTGCACGTGGAGAGCAAGCCATTGACTTCCCGTCGTTGGGCATTGGCAGCTTGCAGTGTTCTGAGCAGTGGCAAGGCAAAGCAAGGGCGCATGCGAGATGATCAGGAAGGAACGAGCAGAGAAAAACAACAAAACGTATTCTATAAGGACGATGTAGTGGCAGCAGCGACTGCGTCGATGACAACGTTGTGGATGACAACGATGTCGATAAGGATGATGATGACGCCAACCCACAAAAATGTAGAACATAGACAAACACAGGCTTATCCACGGTGGCAATTTGACTGCCATCATCCTGCCGCAGCTCCAGCTATGCCTGAGAACCAGTCTTCAATGAAGTCACAAATATCTGCTAAAGTGGATTGTCAATGTGCTTTAATTTGTTGCAACAAGTGACACAAGCATTAAAACTTGTCGTGGAAAGGAATCCTTTCCTTTCAACAAAGCCAGCCCCCCATGCTAGGACAAAGAAATACCTGCCGCAAACAAGAGACAGTGCAGGGCGGACGAAGCACTCTGTAGCGAGCATACCGAGCCGCAATCAGATTGTTTGTGACTGATGTCAACTTCGGCGGCTCGCGGCCGAGGTTTGATAATGAACATAAGGAGATTGAAGGTGGCTCATTGCGGAGCAGGCATGGCTGTGAGCCTGTTGAACTGCTAGCTACGGCATCAGAAAGAGCGACTCTTCCTCTTCGCAACAGGTCGCAATGGGCCTACAGGCGACAGGACACAACAGGCCGCATAGCTGCTAAATCAAATAGCTAGCACAACCCAAAGCACAGTCGCTTGCGCTGTCGTTCAATTGTTTCGACCCTGAAACTTCCATTCCACAAAGCAAAATCTCCTCCGGCCCAAAAAACCTATACCCATGTTTCTCCAAGTGGCCCTTGTAGCCTGCAGCACATCCCACGGTCACCGCAAACTTCTCCTTCACGATGCTGAGCTCCTGAATGCTGTAGTTGGAGGTGTCCCTTGGCCTCACACAAACCTCAGCTCGAACGCGAGATGCATATGGCACACTTGACGCATGGAACATCGGCGGAGCAATGAGCATCGTGCACATCGCTGCACCCTGCTAGTTGCAAAGCGGTGTCGTCCAATTTCTTGCCCAATCAAAGGACAAGCAAATAAGCATGAAAAACCTTGTGGCATGCTACAAGTAGATCAGTACAAAGACATAAAACACAGGCATGAGTTCATACACAGCACTAGCAATTGTACTCTGCAAATGGCTGAAACTTCTCACACATGTCAGAGCCTGGAATCAAGAAGTGTGTGCGTTGGGCACAGCAACTGAGGCGCACACGTCTGTGTGCAAGTCCTCACGGGCAAACAAGGTGCGCTGGCAAAAATGCGAGCTGCGCTGCATCAGTTTTCCTAGTCTGTGGCACTGCTGGTATCCTGCAATTAGCGTGTCAACCATCTCTCTGCCCTCGATGCTGTTGATATTGACTGATACTATAATACGTGTGTATGTATATATATATATACATATTATAAAATATGCTGGGTAGCCCTTGGTCGTTTGCCCAGCTTTCTTGCCATTTGTTGGCTTCTCTAAATACAGTTGAATTCGCCACCAAGGAATGAAAGCCGCAGTGTTTTACTTGCGCAGTTTGCAGGAGTGTTGAGATTCGCAGCTTTCTAGCAACTACATACAACCAATTGCCAGCTTGTTTGGGGGTGCCTGCTCTTGTGATCATCCCAACTACCTGCAGCCTGACCGACAAGGGCAAGCAACCGTGGAAGGCAGGTGGACATGACAACTCCAAGACTGTTGTCCATGCGAACGGGATCCAAATACATCCACCCAATGAAATAGCAAAGCACAGACTCACATGGATGTGGCTCAAAATTACCGGGCCAGGGCTAGGGCCAGGTTTTCAGCCCTGGGTCCCATTTACCAAGCTGCCCCTTTGGTCCATGTCTTTGAGCCACATCCAAAAGCGGCTAGCGGCTCCCCCGGACTCCCCAGCGGACTCTCGCGGACTCGTTCCGCGCTCGTTCCCGTTCTCCTTGGCCGCTTTCGGCAGGCCCAGCGCGCTCTGCCCTCCCACGGCTTTGGTGAAGTCCCCGGACAGCTCCACGGACTCGGCGGGGCTCGGGGGGGGGTGGGGAGGCGGAGGTCTCGAGGTCTCGAGGGATGAGTTCGGCTCCCTTTATGGGGGGAGTGAGGAATGAGCTCCCTGGGTTCCCTTTATGGGAGTGAGGAATGGGTTCCCTGGCAACAGAGAAAACCCAAACTGGGAGCAATGAGCTCCCGCATGATGCCTTGCAGCTGCCAGGAGTGGCGATTTGTCCATCGCAAAGCCCACCAGCCACGCACAGAAACGCCTGGAAATGTGTTGGAGCAAATGCCGGGAGTGCTTCCTACTTACAATCTGCCAGACACATCGCGCGGCACCAAGGATTCAGGTCACCATGCGTGGAAAGAACCATCCTGTTGCGCAAGACGAGCTTGAAGGATGGTCTTGTTACTTCTTGGCAAAGGTATAAAAGCAGCGAGTCTGGCCTTTCCAAATCAAAGTAGCAAATCAGAATCGATTGGCATAATCACAATCTTGCAAGGGCAACCCTCAACCGCAAAAGGGACAATGGTATCTCAAATCAGTGCTCGCAATCTGGAACGAGGCATACTCGGTCAAGGGCTGCGCAAACTGGCAGGAACTGGTCGCTGCAGTGTTCTAGCTAGCCCTAGTCGACACTCTGTCCGTCGGTCACACGCCATACGCGCGTGTCCGGTGTGCATTCGGGCAACAACTGTTGAATGCTTTCTTTCAGCCCGCTAAGAATGATTACTGGTTTCAAGTCAAATCGCTTTCATCCAGGATCTGCTGCTGCAAGTCCACAACTCCGTAAAGGGCGGGCTCTAGTAGCCCTGTTTGTTGTGCCTGCTAGCAGGGTCTAGCATCTTTAGCACTGGCTCACACTTCCTGAGTGGGCAAAAACAAATCCAAACTGCTTGTTTACCACCAAACCGGTGGTCTCTACAAAAAGTGGACTAAAACTTTAAGAAGAACTGGATGAAGCAGCGGTAGGGACGAGCAGTAACCTTGGTTGACGTTGGAAGCGGAGCAACAATTTATATTTTAGCAGTCAAGTGGGGATTTCAACCACTAAACCACAATAAGCAAAAATGTAAAAATGTTTCCCAACAACAACTATGTAACTGTTCTGAAAAAGTGACTCAGGTCCATGAGCTCAACACCTGAGCGGTCCCTTCCGGGTGCCAGGCCATCTTCACAAAGGCCTTCTTCTCGGTGGAGTGCAGCAAGGAAGATACTGACCAGCCTGTGGGAAGGGTCTTAGCGCCCAACCTCCTACCTTCACGCCACAAATGGACCTGCCTTTTAGGGGGAGCCCCTTGCGTTGAAGGAAAGCCAAAGAAAGCCAAAGATGTTGAAGGTGGCTCACCAGTAGTGACGTAACAGGAGCTCACGTAAACAAGTTCGTCATCTGTCCAAGAAAATGTTGGTTGAGAACTGATCACTTGCATCCAATCACCTTTGCGAAGAAAGCTGCCGAGCGGCTCTTCACCTGTCTGCCGGTCTCCTCCGGTGTATTGGTGCCTCCAGGGAGGAAGGGGGTATGGGACAAGCCTAGCACTTGGGGATTCCTTTCGGTGTCAAAGCCGCCCTTTTCAAGCCACCTCAAAACGGAAACCGACTGAAGCCGAAGAGAGGTCCGTTTGCCGACCATACTTCAACATGCCACCTGAAGCAGCGACGGAGGAGAGGATTTGGAGGCTAAAGTCCAGCTGGTCGTCCAGTGCGTTCAGAGGGATGTCCATCCTTCAGCTCACTCGAAGCTCAAGATATATATCTGCCGTGACTCCAATCAGTCGCCAAGCACCGAGGGGAAACAACTCTCGCTTGCTAACCAAAAACAATTCCAATGCCTTGGAGTGGGGCGGTAGAATTGAGTTCTCACCAAAGATGATTGACCAGCTCAAAATGGCTTGGGATTGACACGAAGGAACCAGCTTTCCCCGCAAGACTGTCATGTCGTCATCCTCGAAGCTTTTCAACTGGCACTGGGCGGGCGCTACTGTCAACTGCTCTCTGGTGGCATTGCACATCACGAGCGTCAAGGAACAGCTTTTGGCGCGCAGGCCCCGATTGCTGGCAAGCATCATGACGTCATATGCGGATTTCGCGTTCACTGGGAAGCCTCAGCGAGCCGGGACGATCCCAACTGCCCCTCCCATCGAGACATGGGTGTCCTGGTTAGTCAGCAGAACCACCACCCCATTCTGAATTTCCCTCCCCGAGATCTCATGAGGTCGCGGGATGCAAACGGCGCCAAACTCTGCACGAGCAGGCCCCGTAGTCGATGGCCCAACCTATGGCTAGGCCCCCGGCTGATGTTCTGACCAGGGACTACGTTGGAATTCACCGTCTTCTGGGCGGAGATTTTGCTTTCGTGTGACCGTGTGCAATGGGCAAGCACTGCTTTTCCTGCTCCACGCGGCAAATGCGAACATAGGGCAGCGATTGGCGTTTGCCGTGTCATGCTTCGTTCAACCCAGGGGGTGTCATGCCATTGAAGAACCATGCAGCGATTTTCCATGCACAAAAAAGGACCCCCCCCCAATTCGTACGACTGGCGAAAGGGAAAGTGCTTGGATGTTCGGCACACTTAGCAACAAGTAAGTTAAAGCAACGCTTTTTGCGGCAAGTCGGTGACAGTCAGGGCCTTCTCGTTGGGCGCTGCCGGGAGTGACCAGTGCATGGGAGTCGAGCAGCTGATGCCTCGGATCTGCCCCCCTAGTTGGGCCGCTCCGTTTTGCCCAAAAGGGCATCGAGTTTCAGACGCACCAGGAGGAACCCTCTGAAGTGAAGCATTCGCAACTTCAAACTGCTTCGGTAGACCATCTTAATTTGGTGGTGAACAAAGAAAACATGGACTTTTGTTGACCAATCAAATGAGATTAACAGCTCAGTCGGGCTTCGCACTCGCGGTTCTCGCGGCTCCTTCTGCCAGGGCGCAGGTGCCTGCATGGTCGAACAGCTTGGCAGCACCCAGCTCGCCCACCGTGGTGGAGGAGCTCACAAAGGTCTCCTCGGCGAAGCCATCCCCAATCGCCCGACCCCCGACCCGGATCTTACGGCTCGCAATAAGGCTCGTTTACATGGGTTGGGGGGGGGAGTTCCCCTTTCACATCAACTCCCTTGCTCAAAACCAAAACTAGGTTACTGCATCAATTATAATTTGGCACCAAAAAGGGAGTAGAATGCCCTTCTGAAGTTCCGTCGAGGCGCAGCCTTCAGCTTGATCTGGAAGTATCCCGGGATCTTCCCCCGCAACCTGGTCAGCACCACATGACATGTTTCTTGCCAGCAGCACTTGCGGGATCGTTGCAGGATTTTCTTGCAACAAATAGCGGCTTTTTTAGTCTGAATGGACTTGTCCGTGGGGCCGTGGGGCTGTCAAGCGCACACTTCGCCAATGAGGACAACCCGAAACAAATGATGAGCCGCGGTGTTGTTCTCCGAACAGTCCCAGAACCCACGGGAACGTTTACGTTGTGTTGAAAAGCTTCCCCTGAGTCAGGGAGAGTTCTGCCTTCGACTTGCATCGTTGATTAGTAGATAGCAAAGCCAAGCAGGGTACCACGGGCTCGAGCCGCAGGCTTCGTTCGATCGATGCAGACCAGGTGCTTGGCGCTGAAAGCAAGCTGTAGCAGCGCCAGAAACTTCATTGCCAGGAGCCGTCGCATGGCTCCTGTCCTGCCGCATGCTGCATGAAACAGGGAACATGAGAACCACACCGACCCCAAAAACGACCTCACCTTCATATACAAATATGTACAAAGAATAATAATAACAACAACAATAATAATAATATAATCAATATAATTAATAATAATAATAATAAGTAATAATAACAATGATAATAATAATAGTAATAATAATAACAATAACAATAATAATAATAAATAACAATAAACATCATAATAAACAAACACTGCCTCCGTTGGCTTTCTCGTTCAGGAGTGTGGCTCCATCTGTCGGATTCCCCTTTGATGGGAGTGGCCAAATCACCAGGAAGTGGTGGGCCTTGGCCAGCGGCAAAGCTCGACGCTGCAATGGAAAAGGCTTAGGATCAACCCCCAACCATCCAAACGCTGCCTGCCAGCCAAAGCCGTGGGACTTGGATGTTTTTTTGGTCTGCCTCGCGAGAAAGGGCCAAAAGGGGCCAACAGTTGGCGAGCTCCGCACCTGGTGTACAGCTTCCGAGAAGAAGCTAGCTGAATTCTGCTTCTGAGGTTAGCGACTGCTTCGCATAGTTTAGAACGATCGCTTCCACGACCATACGTGATCGATTGTTGCAGCCTCACGCAACCTAATGCAGGGACCACATCCTGCCCGTCCAAAGGAATTGGTTCTTCACAAGCCATCGATAAAACACATGGATGCTGCCTGGCGGGGCCTGGCATTTGCCCGCTGGGATGATCTTCACAACAAGCTAATCTGGTTGCGGTTGGAACAAAAATTGCTTAAGCAAAACCAAACAAGCGAAAGCGAGCTTTGCGTCAAAACGATCTCCCCAACGGCCCCAAATCAAGTGAAGTTTCACCCCCTCCACTTGTCACTCAAAATCACATCTCAAAAACCAGGCGAGCTTCACGGCAATTCGCTGCTGGCTTAGCTCCTGATCACGCGGCCCGAAGCGCCGCGTGATCCACTGGGAGCCCAAAGGACAGGCGGCGTGTGACATGCAAGGTGGAGACATGGCACTCCTCAAACTTCGAGCCAGACCGACTGTGGATGGACGAAATCCTGCACCACTTTGAATCCATGGCAAACATTTCGTGCTTGGGAATTACACGGGAATCGATTCATTCCAGGGTTTCTTAGGTGGTGCAGGATTTCGTCCATCCACAGTATGTTTGAATGGTGAATATGTCATTCCCTTTGAATTGGATTGGACGGCAGGATGTTGTGGACGACCACCGTCACACTCTTGAGTTCGCCTAACAAAAATGAAGGGAGCGCATCTCAAGGCATCTCAAGATGAATGCGGACCATGGTCATGGATCCTTTCACGCTTGTCTCACGGCCCTGATGAAGGACCCATGAAATCCCTTGTCCGATGGGACATACGGCTTCAAAATGAAAGGACCGGTTGTCCATCAACAAAAAATAGGGTGTCCCGAGGAAAGGAAAACAGGGTACTGCGGCATGCGGTACTTTGTCTGCGCGCCTCTGGAGCCATGGCAGCTTTGGCCATCTACAAGCTCCGGAGATCAAAGCCCCATGCCATCTGGAGGCTTGGGGTATGCCCAACAGCTCTTTCTGGCGGGGCCATTGCTTCAAGAGTTTGTTTACACCAGACTATCGGCATGCCAGACTATCAGCAAGAAACCTGGCGTCTCAGAAAGACGTTGCCGGCATCCAGCAACTACTTCAAGAAAATGTTCAGGATCCCCGAGTCCAAGACCAAGTCGAACCACTTCCTTTAGTGACGTGGTCGCAGAACTGATACCCTGCCATGTTGGCCCAGAATTTAGTTGGAACACCTGAAAAGGATGGAGCCCGACTCCAGGCCACACAGGGTGGCAAGTGGCCAACAACATGGCAACTTGTCTAGTTGGGGTGCTGGACATTGGCTGCCTGCATCAATCAAGGCCAAGACCAACCGCAGAAGCGAAGTAGGAACTCATGCAAAGCGACTCTTTAAGAGAAGCACGTCCCATGCGGCAAACTCTGCCCCTGCAAAAAAAACACGTGCCACACCAGGGCGCGACGAGATGATGGGGTCCAGAAACTTCGAGGGGTCCAACTCCTCAGCAGCACCACGTCATCCCGGAGCATCCGAAGAGGCATAAGGGCTGCTCCCATGTACCGTCGTTTATTTTGTTCATTGTCCGACATGTTGCAAACAAACCAAAAGCAAACAGCGATGCATCAAGCCTTTCAGCCCAGTACACTGGTCGAATCCCGTTTTGCTTGAAGGCATCAATGGCAAAACACCCCACGTCACCGCAACCTGCACACATCTCATTGTTCACGCCCACACTGCTGCTAAACGTGTTCACTTTACCGAGCAGAAGCTCAAAACAAAATCCCCGGGGAATTGTCGAGGTCCATTTCTTGTTCCAGGCTCGAGTGGCTCTTGAGTCTTATATTTCTCCCTGGAAACTAGGGCATCACAAAATGTGTTTCTTCGATACTCGATCACGGGCCATGGGCAAAATAAACTTCGCACCTGGCATGGACGAGGCCCGTCCAAAACTGGTACCTTCCCTTCCACGAACATAGCACCTGCAGGGTACCTGGAAAATAATGCTCCTCTTGTAGAAGACCTTCTGTCAGGTCCCAGGTTAGTCGGAGTGTGCATGTATAAACCACCCACTCTGGTGCCAGTCGATCGATGGTAAAATCCCCGGCCGGGGCCCGCGCCACCTGAGCCTCGAAGAAGGGCGCCTGCTTGACGCTGGGCTCCTCACCACTGAGGTAGCCTCGGGACAACGGGGACGCATGGCAGCTCCGGCGTCTCACTTCCTATGAGAGGCCGTCGGGTTGTGGGGAGTTCGGAGTAAGGCGTGCTTGCGGTCAATCAATGTGCCTTGTGCCGTGCAAACCGACAATCCGACAAGCAACGATCGGGCAAGTTGGTCACGATGTCGCGGGACTGTCGGAAGTCGGCGCGCCCCACTTCCTCACTCTCCGTGGTGGTGGTGCGCGTGACGTAGAAGTAAACGCTATCGGAGAACCGCCAAGCTGCAAACAGGACCACTGCTGCCAACCTGGAATCAGGGAGATTGCCTGTCCCAGTGTGGGCTCCTGAATGCAGCCACATTGCGCAACAAAAAGGTTGATGCTTGCTCACGCCATTGGAAACAGTGCCATGGAGAAAAGCATGAGTTGCTAGACATGATAAACCTCAACTACCTGCAACATGCAATAAATGCCATGATACAGTTTGAACAAGGATACAACCAAGTAATCAACAACACACACACACACAACCACAAATACACGAGAAATATATTATACACAGGACGACATACGCCATGACCACATGTGACGTGATTGCACTAGCCAGCCAGCCATCCGTCCATCCAGCAACCCTGCGAGCCCCGGCTGACACCTGAGCCTCCGTGCACTTATCATAGACGCCACAATGCAACATCTGCCAGCACACGAACAAATTGAAGACCCCCTCCCCGCTTTGGCCCAAGTGGAAATTGCATGGCGCCTCGAAAACGCAGCCATGCGAACGCAGAACATTTACAGCCGTCGTGCTTCAGCCAGCCCAACCCATGTCGACAAGCACTGCATCCGTGCCACAAGGGCAAAATCCACGAGCTTGTGCTCGGCGGGCGATGCTCGTCCTCCGCATTGAGGATGTGCCGAGAGGCTTGCCTCAGACAGGGGCACCTCGTGTCCGCTGCCTCGCAGCTTTTCATGACTGGTTCCAGACCGGTGCGCTTGCCTCCAAGAAAGAAACGCAAGTGGGCGGAAGAAAGAGATTGTTGACATTCCGAAACTGATGCAGGCCTGCACAATATGCATTACACGACTTCTTGGATCATCAGAGAAGGCAGAAAAGGCAATGCCAGAATGCCAGGTAGAAGCATTGAATCAGCACGCGAGTTGTCACAGACCGCAAGTTGGTTCATGTCTAGGTGTCGTATGAAAGGCGGATATTCAAAACGGAACCGTTTGTTTTTGGTTTGCCAGCCTCCAAAGCATAGATAAACCTTTTGGACAAATATCTGGCCCTGTCAAATGGCAAGCCAATCTAAACCAGTGGAACCCAAATATCTACTTCTAACTAATCTCCAGGGGTGCTTGTACATACTCCTTGTTTACGTACTTTTCTGGCAAGTGGGTTGAAAGGGAAGCAAAGGGGTACGAGCAAGGGTATCTACTTCCACCCTTAGATAAACTAAGTCCTCCAGTAGAGAGGTTAGAATAAGGTTACCCTTTTTTTCTGTAGTCTATTGTAGTAGGGCAACCCTCCCCCAAAAAAGAAACGCTAAAAGGGCACTACTGGGGGACCTAAGTGATCCGGATCCCCACTCCTTGAGACATGGCTTCACCGGCTTCACCCCGATCAACCCAAGGCTTGCTCAATAAGGCGCTTTTTTTGGGGTAAAAAGGGTACTGGGGGCCCCTCTCCAAACTCCCCTCTCCAAACTCCAGTCAAAAGGACCCCTCTCCAACATCCCCTCGCTTCAGCGCTTCGGCCGCGCCGCCAAGCCCGTCCCGGGCTAAGGCCCGCGGGGCGGAAGCGGCCGCCCACGAAGCAGGGCCCCAGAAGCAGTGCAACCCACCGCGAGCGGAAGCGCCGGAAACGCATGGCACATGGAAGCACGAGAAAGAAAAAAAAAAAGGAAGGCTACAAGGATTGATCAGTATATGTATATATATATATATATATTAGATATATTTGCTTATATTTGGATAATAAGGCTGAAAGGGTTCAACCCATTGGCAAACTTGTGTGGATGCTGGTGGTTGTTGCAGGGTGGGCTGTTGCAGCTGAGTGAAGCTGCCACTCAAAGGGAGCCATGCTGCCGACCCCGCTTTGCACATGTGGCCAGAACCAAAGCCTTGAGATGGAGACATCCAGGAGGCCACCAATGGACCATGCAGCCAGCAACTTCGCGGCTGTTGAGCCTTGCCTCCGATTAGAGCACCCTACACTACCCAACTTTGCAGCTCAAGCTCCTGAACTCAATTTCAGATCCTCATCTGAACAACACGCCCTCCTAAGCCCATAAAACACCTTGCAAACTGCACTCGACAAATCAAACGCGTGAGAGAGCCGCTCCGCGAATATCTCCTCCGCAACGCAATCCCAAAGCCCTGTAAGACCCTGCCTCCCGACTGCGCGTTCCCCGACTGCGCAGTCACGTTCCCGTGTTCAGTCCTTTCTGCGACGGCAAAGTTGGTATCAAAATCTGAATCTGCCAGAACCCCTGCTTCAAAGCCCACAAATCAAGGTAAGTGTTTCAGGTTGAAGAGCTTTCGCAAAGTTCAGCCATGTTGAAAGGGCTAACACACTACTTTCTGGGGCTGGACGCTCCGACCACAACCCGCCTGGCATTCGGGCACAATGCTCGTGCAAATACTGCGCGGAATAACACAGAAGGGGAGTGTCTATCGAGTCACTTGCTGGCGTTTGAGTTGGTTTCTGCATCGCAAGGATGTTTGAGAAGTCCTGGCCCACAATGAAGGGGCAGAAGCACGCGTAAATGGCGCCTCAGCCGTGGTCCGCGTAGCACAATCGCAGCGAATCTGAGCTGACAAATCACTATCGCTACCGCAAGGTCTGCAGGGTGTTGTCGCGTTGCCTCATCACAGCAAAGGGACGGACTCATGGAGCCTCGCGATTCAAACTGGCTTACTCATGGATACAGGTCGCCGTCCAGAGTTGGCAAAACGACTAGCTGCAGCACCTCCGTGCATAGACTTCACCAGATGCGGAGGTCGTCAGGTATTGCAAGTCTCCCTGTTTTCCGTGGCGATGAAATCGATGCTAAGCGATTTAAGACGGCCAAGGCAGGCCCAACGGCCTGCCGGCATGAGCTGACCATTGGCAGGACGATTTTCTTGTGCTCAATGGCACAGGCGCCACATCCATGGCTTGCAACAAATCCAGGAGTTGCGATTTTGAAGAACATGAGCCATGACAACAACACAGGGCCTATAACATGACAGCGTTTGATCAATGATCAAGGTTTGACACAGAAATGGCATAGGTGCTTTGCTTCGTCAGGACTTGTTTAAGGGCCTTCGTACAAAACGGCAAACATTTCGCCCGCGACATTTTGAACACCGGAAAATATGAAGGGACACTGCTCAATGGATCTTTCCAACTGAGACGAAGGGGAACTTCCGCTAGTTGCAGCAGCCAAATGGCTCGCGCTGGTCAGCCCTGAGAAACACCACCTTGGGTCGTTCCGCTGGCCGAAACACACGCGGCGCTGGACATTAACCGCGCGAGACCGCAAAGTTTGGACGCAGCTGAGCTGCCAGTCACTAGCAGTTGAACTGGTGGTTGGGGCGGTTTGCGGTTGGGCATTGGAGTTAGAATCATAACACCAGCATAGCACTAGCAGGAAGCAGCCCCAGTGAACTGGAGTTTCCATCCTGCAATTGCTTCGGAGAAGTCACACAAAAGCTTATCCCATGCCCATGTCCATTCAGCTGACCCCAACGATCGCGGCTCGCGTCATACATTTCACAGCGTGCGCCGTGATCACGATGCAGTCGCACATCATACCCGACCTCTGGCAGGGGAACTCCCGATTTGCGAGCCCATTAAATCGTTTCACAGCAAGCGAACCCTGTGTGACCATGATTCATTTGCCCAGCATTCACCACTGCCAGAACAGGCGTGCGCCTGCAAACACCATTTTCATGTCAAACAGTTTCAGAAAATGAGGAACTGACCCACACACAGACACACACACACACATCACATACATTCCATTCTGCAAACTGGGTTGAACCACCTCATGACCCAACGAACATACTATCTGCAAGAAATGCGCCGACAACAAGCCTGTTTCGCCTCCGGAGCCCTACTGAACTGTCCCGCCAAGCCCCTTTCCTCTGTGCAGAGATGAGAACCATCCATGCATGGCAGCTGGCAATGGCCCGTATAGTGTAGAAAACAAGTATTCCGGCACGTAGGCGCACTCCGTCGGGCCCCAGGCAAGCAAGCTTTGCATGCACACACAAACACACAGAAACAGGGACACAGGGACACACTGACACACAAACACATGCACACAGACACATACACACACAGAGAGACACACAGAGACACTCAGACACACACACACACAGAGACACACAGACACACACACAGACCGACACACACACACACAGACCGACACACACGGACACACATTGGACATAGGCACACACACACACAGACACAAACACACACACACACACAAACACACACACACACACACAAACACACACACACACACACACACACACACACACACACACACACACACACACACAAACAAACAAACAAACAAACACATACACACGGACACACACACACAAACAAACAAACCGCACACACAGAAAAACACACAGACACACACACACAGACACAGACACAGACACAGACACAGACACAGACACACGTGCATGTAACAATATATAACACACACACAGACACACACAGACAGAGAGACAAACAGAGACAGACACACACACAGACACACACACACAGACAAACACACACACACACACACACAGACAAACACACACAAACAACACACACACACACACAAACAAACACACACAAACAAACACACACGCACACACGCATCACCTGAGCAGGGATCCCCAACATTAGCGCTTTTCGAGCAACACAAATCCACACATGATGAGCAGCTGACAATATTGCCGCAACAAAGTGATAGGGGGTCCCGGAAACCAATTTCTACCAACCTCTGAAACCCAATAGAGTACCACCAAGCACCGATTTCTACCAACCTGCAACACCAACAAGGGGTGTTCTTTGCTTTTTTTGGGGCGCCATGAAAACCCCCACACCCTGGCAATATCGTCCGCCACGCCGCTAGTGCACCCCGTTGGCCATGCCCTGCGCTCCGCGCCGCCACCTGAAATCGTTCATTTTCGCCCAGCGAGATGTGAGATGTGACCCTTGACCTTGACCCTGGTCAGCTCAAGAACAAGAAGAAAAGGAATGGCACTGAGTAGTCAACATACGAGTACATACCATTATTGCCATTGCCCCGAAAGTTCAGTGGGTTGCACTTACTTGTGAAATCACAAACCGGGCGCCCCTTCAGTCATTGTTTTGACATTCTCCTGTTTGAGTGCCCCGCTGGATTTTCAGGGCCAAAAAACTGGGCCTCGTCAACGCAAAACGTTGCTCTCGCAGGAACTTGCTGTCAAAATATTGTTTGCTAGGCAGCGCGGGATTGTTGGGCCTGCTGACAGAACATGCCTGTTAACCAGAAGGGCGTGATCATTTGAGGGTGCGGGGAGTCTGTTGTTTGCAAGGTTTGTCTTTTTTGGTACCGGGCCGGGCATCAAATTGTTTTGCCGGGTCAGCCATCTCTACAGCAAGTGGCCCAGCAGCATTGACAGTGGCATGCCTTCTCATTGGTTTTTGGACCGGCAACCGAGGAAAGGCACACCTACTAGTACCTGAGCGTCCCCCTGACTCAACGGACGAATCAACATACAATTATGACTTTTCACGCAAAAACATCATTATCCCAATACGAATCAACAAAACCACGAACCCTCTCTAAGTACCTCCAAGCCCCTTCCGCCTCCATCCCCCTCCGCCTCTGTCCCCCCTCTCCCCGCCCGAGGTCCCGGCAGCACCACGCGGCCGTGCACGTCCCCCGAGGCCAACAGCGCGCGGCTGCGGGACACCGCGACGTCCACCACCGGCACCGTGTGCGCCTTCAGGGAGCTCTCGCTGAAGCCTCGGGCGCAACCTCGAAACTGCGGATATATCATACCTGGACCCTCAAAAAGGAACTGGGTCAAAATCCTGTACCCCCGGTGAACATCCCAATCCCCACTAAAATAGACTAAAATGGGTGGTGCACCTACTCCAAAATGGTACCATTGGTTTTGACCCACAGCCAATTGATTTTTGAGGAACTTGTTGGGAAATTGATTTTAAAGAAGTTCGAGGTTTACCTTTAAAGGAAACCACACGGAACACCACCCTATTTTGACATGGAACCTCAATGAGGCCTCAAAGGTACACCTGTTCGGCCTTTGTATTTCTGGCAAAGTAGCAGTGCCTCTAATCGCAGCCCTGTCTGACTTCCCCGGCATTTAGAACAAGTGCGGGGTGCAAACTCTCCCGTGCATGCGAAAACAGGCAAATCGATCTTGTCAAATTGCAGGTTTGGATTGGTGTTTAAGGCTAGAGCTAACTTGCTCGGCGAAATATTCACAAAACATGATGACAGTCATGACAGAGCAGTGCAGAATACAGGCACGCAATAATTCAACAACTGTTTGCTTGCTCTTTGCACCCCTATCCATCAGTTCCTGAGAGCATTTACAGCAGCTTCTAATGGTGGACACCTCTGCAAGAGGATGGGGTATGTAAAGGGGCAATCCGGGTGTGCACAAAACAAGTGTGTTTGCCTTGCCCTTGCCCCCTCTTTTCAGGCAAGCTGCTCTCGAGGTCGAACACACGCACCTCAGCTATGAGGCTCACGCAGCAAACGTAGGGTTCGTCAGATTTCATGGATTGCAGCATACGAGACTGTCGCATTCAACGATTCAACGGCTTCAACTCAATTCAAGACTAAGCAGTCCCCTTCAAGCCAC